CTCGTTTATCACAGGCCAACTCCCCCACACAGTCTCACACACACACACAGACTCACACACACTCTCACACTCACACACACACACACACACACAAAGAGATACAGGAAGAAAACAGTAGGAGTGGAGCTTTTAAGAAACAACATTTGCTGTTGGTTTGTGATTGAGGCAAAACCTCTGAGCCTCATAAGTTAACGACTCCAGAGCTTATGTGAGAACATATCCTCTGAGTCAGTTCATGTTGGCCTCATAAACTCACTTAATACATTCAGACTGAGGAAAACGCACCGCCGGCTCAACGGGATAAACAACAGTTACATAGAAGAAAATCCATCTGTGCATCCCTACAAATAATCATTAGTTGAACAGTTGTTAGAATATTGACCAATTGTCTTATTGCTGGAACGTCGTCACTATCTGCTCAAATGTTCCACTGGCCAACGTTTGATCCATGACAGGAATAACCAGAACTAAGAACCGGATTTCTTTATAATTGCTTGTGAATATTCATGAGCCCGAGAGGATCCTAGTGTTCTATGAGGAGCCCTGACCTCGCCCTCTATCGCCACCATCAGGCAGAATAATGTCCACATGCAGACAGATTGCCACACTGTTGAAAGGGAGCAGAAGAGAGAGGGATGGAAGGAAGGATGAGGGAGAGAGAGAGAAGAGAGGGAGAGAGACGGGTTGATTGACGGGACGGGAGAGGAAAAGGGCAGAAACACTCTCGAGGGAGAAATACATTCACACAGAAGGAGCTGCAGAGTGAAACCTGTTTCTCAACCACACACACACACACACACACACTCAGTCGTGCACACCAGCACTCTCAGACCAATTGATGCACACAGACACACTCGGGCCTCCTCCAGCTGGTGGAGGCTCGGCGTCAGATTGGACCCAGGTGGCGTGGTTCACCCACACACACACACACACACACACAGAGACGTGTTCATGCATGCACAGAAACACACACACACATGAATATTAAGCCTCAACACACACACACACACACACTGAAGTCCAGCAGACCTGTCCCTGAGGCTTTAAGGTGCATGGGGAGATTTATCTTTGCTGCCTCTCCCCTCCTCCTCCTCCTCTTCCTCCTCCTCCTCCTCCTCCTCTTCCTCGTCCTTTTCCTCTCTTCCGTCGCCAGCTTGGCTTCCAGTTCAAGAAAAGCCCTTTCCTGCCTCTCGCTGTATGTGGCAGATAAAAGCAAGAGGACACGAGGGACTAACGAAGAGAGGATGGCAAAGACATTAGTGAGAGATAAGAGCGCTAACTGACCATTTGGCTATTTTTGCTCCATCGGCGAAAGAGCTTATTCTTGAGATCTGGCAAGTTCTCCAGCGTTCCTTTCAGAGCCATGAGGAAGAGCGGCGCTTTGGAGCTGCTGTAGTCTGGCAAACATGAAACCGGGGGGGGGGGGGATTTGGGGACCAGGCGGCGCAATTCAACCTAAATTATTGAACTTGGACCAAATTCAGGCTGTTCTGGCTGCCAGCAAAACAGAACATGTAACATGATTAAAGATTGTGCTTTCTAATTCAAGGTTCCCTGACTAAATGTGGGAAACAGGATTTGCACATCGTTCTGTATTAATAATTAATAATTACAAGTGTTTATCAAGAGCGTTCTTATGTAACGACGGCATGTCGAGGTCAGGAGCTCAGGAGTGTAAATATGTTGGTACCGTAGAACATTCAGTCATTTCATTTACACTGTTACTACGGACAGTGTGCACTGTGACTCTGCCAAGGCCTCGTCCTTCTATAGACTTTACTCAACACTGTAGCGGGTAAATGACAGAACGGTGCAAAAAAACAAGGTACAAAAAACATACGGAACAAGATACTAGACACGGTAGAAATAATACAAATATTATTAATACGAGTAGTGTAAATAAATGAAAGTGGAGCGGTGCATTAAACAACAGTAACAGCAGTTTCTGGGTGCCTGATGATGTTTAAGTTTCATAATTTCAGTCTTGCCTGATAGTGGCATGAGAGAGTAAAGTCAATGTATTTATGTTTACTGAGGTAATAAATCTAGAGAGAAGTAGAGTCATTTTCTCATAGACTTCTATACAACCAGAGGAGTCGCCCCCTGGTGGTCACTAGAGAGAATGCAGCTTTAGGACACTTGCCGTCTGTTCCCAACAAACGTTGACTTGTGATGAGAATCCGTTGAGGAGCGTGTGTTTATGGAAAATGAAAAATGTGCCCAAATGTGATCAGTCTACCTCCTTTTTCTTCCCCAGATACTTTTGCCAGTAAGGTGGCTGCTACCCAGGACCAGTACGCAGACGCATCCATTGGTAACGTGACGGGCTCCAACGCTGTGAATGTGTTCCTGGGCATCGGGGTGAGTCCAGCTCATTGTCCAGTCATAGTGGTTACTATGATACGTAACTCTGTGAGTGCTATTCTTTATAAAACACGTTACTCAGTTTGACTGTGCTGCTGCTTGACAGGTGGCGTGGTCCATCGCCGCCATCTACCACAACAGCAGGGGGGAGGAGTTCAGGGTGGACCCGGGCAGGCTGGCCTTCTCTGTCACGCTCTTCACCATCTTCGCCTTCATCGCCGTCGGCGTGCTGATGTACCGACGACGGCCGGAGATCGGTGGAGAGCTGGGGGGGCCGCGGACGGCGAAGATCCTGACCTCCATGCTGTTCGTCAGCCTGTGGTTCCTCTACATCTTCTTCTCCTCACTGGAGGCCTACTGCCACATCCAGGGCTTCTAAGAGGACCCGGAGACGACGGAAGGGGAACCGAAGGAGAAACACGGAGGAAACCATTGATCTATCACTCCCTCCCTTTACGCAATAGATTGATTGACAGGTGAATGGATGTACAGATGAAGAACTGGAGGACGCATTGAAGCATCGAAAAACAGAATGGAAGGAAATACGGACGCATGGAAGGATGACGACAAAACAGGAAAATCACAGGAGCTGCAGAGAAGCTGGAAGAAGAAGAGGTGGGAAGATGTCAGAAGAAGGAATAAACAAAGGAATACTTTTTATTTTGTCTTGATCTATAAATCCAAACCAATCAAGTTGTCTTAAAGCCCCCGTATTAAATACATGAAACTCTGGTTCAACCATAAAGAAATGAAGATGAGTTTTAACAAAACGAGGAGTGGATGTGTGGCTTCATATATATCCCCCCCTGCAGTCGCTACTCCCAACGTCCAACTACAGTAAGAGACACGAGTGAGACGGATCAGTACGTCCATGCATGACCAGACGATACTGAACACTCAATCAGAAGAAACCTGGATATAACCGCCGCAACTGTTTAACGACAACAAACTCTGTGTGTGTGTGTGTGTGTGTGTGTGTGTGTGTGTGTGTGTGTGTGTGGCTGTGCGTTTCTGTGCTCGTGTGTTGTTGGAAAGACAGTCGAGTACTGTGAAAAAACAACAAAAACAAAAGAAAAGGCCTCTGGTTTTGCTGAGACGGAGTATGCTTTTCTTATCGGACGTCTTTTCTGACTCCCGCTCTCCCCCGGCCTGTAGAAGCGCCGAGTAAGACTCTTTGCAGGGAGGGCGCGTTCCATTTGAACATCACTGAGGTTAAGAAATGTAATATACGAGCTGAAGGTTCATTACAGCTTCCGCCAGTTTCCTTCTGAAGGCCTCGGTTACGCCTCCTGAGCGGGCCTCTCTCTCTCTGTCGCTCCATGCAGTAGGTGTAAATGATTGAAGGTCTCATTTGAAGGGTTCGTGTGCTTCTACCTTTAATAAGGCCGCGTCTGAGAAGACACAACGGCCACTCTACCGTTTGAAACTGTTAGAGAAACTATTATCATTGCATAAATATCTAGGTTATGTGTGTTTTATTTTTTGAACTATGAGATTGCCCCACCATGTGTCAGTCGTAACATTGCAATAGACTTTTGAAAACGTAGGCTCCGCCCTCTGTGAATCCTCATTGGCTGTCTGTTTCTCGTCATGGTTTTCTCCTGGCTTTGATGCCCGTTGGTTTACTAGCTTGTGTCATTGTCCCCGTGTGTCTTAAGCACCTCCCCCCGGCTGGTCAGTGGACCAATCAAAAATCCTCAAGGGCTTTGTAAGAATCAACCACTAGTCCCTTCACCCTGACCCTTGATGTATAAGTCTTCACATAGACTGGTCTTTAGGGGGCTATTTAACAGGGAGTCGTATTCCTTAACATTACCTGCTCAGATATTAGGACTTTTCTTCAGCGTAGCTTTGAAAGGGAAAAAACAACAAGACTACATGACAGTTGAGTGCAGACATCGTCAAACCAAGTACACGGAGTTACCGAAATATTGGCTAAAAGCGACCCGATGATCCAAAGTACTCGGTCGGACGAGTCTTCAATCCTTCTTGGATTCTTTCCCGGTTCATTACAAAGACCGCCGATAAATCAAACCATCCATCCGATGTTCTTCTGCCGCTCTGCTTCTTAAAATACTTCCCTTCAGGCATGTGGGCTATGAAGGCCTAAACCTGAAGGAAGTACTGAAGGTTCATGTTGTTTCTTTATCCAAGGACAGGTGTTTGCTCTCGACTGAAGAACCATAATCTGAAGTATGAGATTCACTGCTTTGGAAATCAACCTTCAG